TTCGTTTCGACCGTCCAGTGGTTTACACTTGGGTAGGTAGGTATAATATTTTACGTTATTTTAAACTTTATTTTTAAACGAAATATTGTTTATTTGGATGAAACCTGGTATGGTACTCATGACACCGTGAAAAAAAGTTGGACGAATAATAAAAAGTGTTCTAATTCAGTACCGCCCAATAAAAGACAGAATTATAATTTTACACTGCGGTTTATTTAATTTAAAATTAGATATCTACGCTACTGCTCAATAAAGCAGTGACCAATCTAACATTGTTGCCATTTTCTAGGATTTTGCTCGCGCTGGTTCCTATAAATTTTCTCACGAAATTACATGTCGACTATACTGGGTATCAGTGAAGCCAGATGGCCCCACTCAGATTGTTTTTCAACAGACGAAGTCACAATATATTATTCCGGTAGCGAGAATAACCAACACAGACACGGCGTAGCAGTAATAGTTAATAAAAAATCTAATAGAGCGGTGGAATGCTATTTCCCTACCTCGGAAAGAGTAATGGTACTGAAGTTAGTGACATCTCAAGCCAAACTGAATTTGATACAAGTTTATGCTCCTACGGCGAATGCCGACGAAGAAGTAGAATTATTTTAGCGAGATATCGAAGAGGCACTTAGACTAACGAAAACAAGTGAAATCACGATAGTCCTAGGTGATCTCAATGCAAAGATTGGAAAGGGGTAAAGCGGAAAGTGCATAAGAAACTATGATCGAAACGAGAGAGGAGACCGCCTGTTAAAATTCTGTCAAAAGCAGAACTTTATTATTACAAACACATTTTTCAAGTTACCAAACAGACGACTGTATACATGTCGATCGTCCACAGATACATCGGAGAAAGTAGTCAGCAACCAGATAGACTACATTATGATCAATAAAAGATACCGTAATGGTATTAAAAGCGGTGAAAGCATATCCTGGATCAGACGTGACCTCAGATCACAATCCACTTATCGCCAAGATTACACTCACCCTTAAAAATATTAAAAGGCATCAAAGAATTCTTACAATAGACACAAGAAAACTTAAAGAACCTAAAGTCAAAGAATGCCTCCAACATGAACTATATGTGAACTGCAACATATTGAACACAAACACCAATGACATTGACGAGTACTGGGATAGACTAAAATATTGTCTACTGGAACCCTGTAAAAAAATACAAAAGACTTCCACAAGGAGTCAATTTAAAAACAAGGACAACAATAAATACAGAGAGATAAACCACGAGATCGGGAAGATGATAGAGCAGGCAAAAGAAAAATACTTTGCAAAGAGCAATGCAAAGAGATCGAAGACTTTCAAAATAAATATGATCTGTTTAGCCTACACAAGAAAGTTAAAGAACTGGCAGTACTAAGAAAACAAAATCCCACTCGTGCAATTATGGATAGACACGGGACTACTATAACACATACGGACAAGAAAGTACAAAGATGGGCAGAATATATCGACGAATTTTTCGATGATGAAAGAGGAGATCTGGTGCACATAGCACTATATAGGTCAGAATAAATAGGTCCATATATTACAAAAGAAGAAATATTACACGGATTAAAAATAATGCCCTGGAGTGGGAAAAGCCCTGGACCTAACATGCTTCCTATAGAAATCCTAAAAATTCTAGATGAAAAGCACATTGATGTTTTAGTTTTTCTAAACCGTTTGATAAGGTTGATCACAAATACCTTCTCTTTAAATTATCAAATTTGGGATTTGCTGGAAACATCTTAAAGTTACTTGAAAGCTATTTAATAGGTAGGAACCAATTTGTATCCTATAATGGTTTCATATCAGAATTAATCTTTACTACATCCGGTGTTCCACAGGGATCAAATTTAGGTCCATTGTTGTTCTTATTATATATCAATGATTTATTTTTAGGTATCAATAACAGAAAATTATGTTTTGCGGATGATCTTAAAATATACTGGGAAATTAAAACTGTTGCTAACTGTATAGATTTACAGAACGATTGAAATTATATAGATACGTGGTGGATAAAAAACAAACTTTTTCTTAATGTCAATAAGTGTAAAGTAGTAAGTTATTCTAGAAAGGAAGAAAAGATTTTAATTATGTAATTCAGGGATCAGATCTTGAAAAATGTAATGGCATTAAAGATTTAGGAGTTATATTTGATTCAAAATTAACCTTTAACAACCATATTAAGCAGAAAGTATCCGATGCTATGAATATGTATGGTTTTATCAACAGAAACTGTAGAAATTTTAGCGATATAAGACCGATAAACTGCTGTATATATCGCTAGTACGAACAAAACTAGAATATGGTAGTTTAATTTGGTATCCCATTTATAAATGTTATATGCAACAGATTAAAAAGGTACAACGGAAACTTTTAAAATATTTAGCATTTAAGGTTGATGGAGTATATCCCGTACATGGTTATGATTACGATTTGTTATCTAACAGGTTTAATATTGTAAGTTTAGAGTTAAGAAGAATTATATTTTCGGTGTCATTTTTATATAAGTTGTTACACAACTGTATTGACTGCGGTGATATATTAGGTCAAATGAAATTTAATGTGCCAAGGATTACTTCCAGGTCGACTATCGTGTTTACTTGTCCACGTGCGAGAACAAATATGTTACTGAAGTCACCCATTTATATTATGTGCGATAATTATAATAAAATATGAAACCATTGTGATATTTTCTCATGCTCAATTAATCATCTGGTTGATAACGCACTGGTTTATGCAGTACTTTAGATTGTTAATTTTTTTTTGTGTGTATTTTTTTTTCTTATTTACATAGTGATTTGTTTAATTATATTGTTCTCACTCTTTATTTTGTTTTTCACCTACTTAGTTTTTAGACTTATTCTTTTGCTTGATATTTTTGTACCACCTACTGATGATTGTATACTAATTAAAAACGTATCTTAAATTTTTACCCTAGAAATGGGAAACTGTTGGGTAATAAAGCTATTATTTATTTATTAGCTTGATGTCTTATATGCTAAAGTTACTACTTAAAGTCATCCATAACCGAATATATCACAAACTGGACACTGACGTTAATGATACACAATTTGGTTTTCGCAAAGGCCTAGGAACGCGTGAAGCTCTTTGTTCACTTAATATACTGATAAACAGCTGCCTGGACATCAATCAAGATATATACGCATGTTTTTTTGACTATAAGAAAGCATTTGATAAAGTACGACATAAACAATTGATTAATGTCCTGAAATCAAAGAAGATTGACTACAGCGACCTCAGGATCATATCAAATTTATACTATAAACAGCGAGCAAAACTACGTGTTATGAAGAGCTGTCAGAAGAACTTGAAATTAGATGTGGAGTGAGACAGGAATGCGTATTGTCGTCAATTCTTTTTAATGCCCACTCCGAAGAGATCCTGAAAAACGCTCTTGAGGGTAAAACAGTTGGAATACAGGTAAATGGAGTTCCCATTAACAACATTAGATATGCAGACTCCATATTACCACCTTCTACTCTAAACACTCCATCTCATCGAGCCCAGATTTGGGCCATATTATGAAAAAATGATCAGAAATAGAGTCCAGTAGAGATGCAATTCGTTCTTTAGCTGAAAGGGTGTGGAAAACGAATGACGAATGTAATAAGGCCATACATAAAAGAAATGAAGAACACAAGAAATATATGGAAAGAAGAAGCGGAGAAAAAAGGGCAAGTTACCAAGATGCAAGGCGGAGGGCCGATAAAATATGCCGAACAGAGAAAAGAAAATACGAAAACGGCAATATACAGAAAATAGAAGAAAATCTTCAAAGCAACAATATAAGACAGGCGTACAGATATCTACGCAATTTAAGAGAAGAATACAAACCCCGAACAAATATATGCAGAAATCAAGAAGGGCAAATAACCAGTGATCCAAAAGAAATAAAATCAGTCTGGAAAACCTATTTTCAAACTCTTTTAGGGACACAAAAAATGAAGAGCATATGGACATGCATCATAATTGTAATGTATCAGCCACATACACAAGGGAAATAAGCCCACCCCCAAATGCAATCGTTAATCAGTTAGCCCGGTATGTAACAAGCCAACATAAGAAAATAATGAAATAAAATAAGGGGTAGTTAGCCAAGAAAAGAATAATTAGAATTAATTAAATAATCATTATATACTCCTAATTAAATAAAGAATCAATTCGATACAGTTTAACGTATACATTTCAAATTATACAAAGAATAACAATCAGACCTAGTTTGACACAATCCCGAATGTTTAAGAATTACGAAATGTGAAGACCTTCGTTGGAAATTAATACAAAATACGATTTGTTAAACAGCATAAGAATTGAGCTGAGTTAGGAAGTTTCACATGGCATGATCCATTTTAACACATGGAGCAAACGGCGAAATCAGCAGAAAGTCGAGGGGAAACGGTAAGAAGCAAAGTTGACCAGGGTACGCGCTGGCGAGACATAAAAACAAGAAATGTCGGTGGAAAGAGTCAGTCAGCGCGGGGGCGACCAGACTCTTCCTGAGTTCCAGTTTGGACTACAAGGCGTATTCGTTAGCTAGGGCGATCACTGGCGATCACCTAGTAGGACAAATGCATATGCTCATCAACAAGATTTGTAATAATGAAAAGATCCCTAAGAGTGTCTGGAAAACGAGGACCAACGACAAGAAGATTTTCTTGGCTTCAGAACCTGAGAAAATAATTTAGGTCACACGGGGTTTGCGTAGGTCATCACTAACTGGAAAACTTCATTTATCGCCCTTTTTTGATATTAAAATTTTAAGTTTTTCAGTTTATTAAACAAAGTTTCTAAAAACAAAATTGCAAAGAAGGCAAAAGCAAAAAGAGTTTTTTCTTGTTTTGATCCTCTTGTTCCGGAGTCTCGTCTACTTCGTGTAGTGAAATTATTCTACTCCTTTCGTAATGATCCTTCTTAAAATTTGATATTTTAACAGTTGTTCGGTAGTCTACTTTAAACAACATTATTTTTTTTAGATACACATGCATCCGGTGGGATGGAACGTGGAAGAAGTGTTCCCAAAAAGTTGTTTGCCCAAGGAAGTGGGAGGAGAGCTGGAGTCAGAAGATGAACTTAACAGAAACACATTGATGTTGTATAAAGAAAGGGAGGCGTACTGGAAAGAAGAAGAAAGGCTAAGAAAAACGATTTCTAAATAAAAAAAATTGTTCATTCAAGTTTTTGTATTGGTATTATATTTTTTAGTTTTAAATATGTTCAGAAAAATGAGTAAAACTCACAATGAAGTAAATAGTTTTGGTCTAAACAGTATATTTATTTTCATAAATTTTCAGCAATTTTCATCACAACGTTTTCGGACAATCATCGGTGAAAACATGAAATTAAGTATTCCCAGTTTAATATATTTACTAAAAAGAATAATAGTTGTGAATGCGTAATTGAGCATTTGCAAACAGCGACTTTAAAAGGTGTAAAAAACTTTAGATTCGATTTTAAATATCAAAACTATCCAGTAATCCTTAATAAATGCAAGGGTTGGGTCGCCCCATAGACCCGCAGGAACAATGAGCCCTCCGAGAGTCGTGTAAACTTGATGGGTTAAAAGAACTCTTTATATTCAAGCGTAGCCGATACTTCTATGAGGTGAGTGCGACTGCGAGGAAGCTCCGAACCTCTCAACTTTGCGTATAAAGCTTCTTCATCTTCTTCCTTCTTGTATGTAGGCTTTAAAGCCTGTTTCGTCTTCACTATTAGCCTCCTAAATTGTTTTAATTGTCGCACCATCTTTTTCTTGGTCTGCCAATACTTTTTCGTCCATTTGGTGACTTATGTCGTACTATTCGTACTATCCTTTCCTCTGCCATTCTACTAATGTGTTCGTTCCGCTTATGTTTCCGTTTTGTCATCCATCCCATTTTGTCTTCTATATTGCATGCTCTTCTTATGTTTTCGGTTCTCTTCCTATCCAACACACTTTTCCCTGATATTCGTCGAAGTATTTTCATCCCTGTTGTTTCTAGTAGTAATCTCGTTTTAAATGTGTCGGGTCTTGTCTCCGCTGTGTATGGTAATACAGGTTCAATTGCTACTTTATGATTCTTGTTTTTGTGTCTTGTCTTAGGTGTTTGTTTTCCAGATTGTGTGATGAAGAGATCTCGCCGCTTTACTTGCTTTTAAGCTTTGTTATCGTACTTCTTCTTCAATATCTCCGTAACTAGTTATATTTATTCCCAGATATCTAAACATTGCTTCCTGCATTATTATTGTCCCATCAATTTCGATTTTACATCGTAGTGGGTATTTAGATTTTGTCATACATTTATAACATAATCCAAATAACATAATATTTGGATTTCTTTGTTCCCCATTCTGTAACCATAACTTTTGTGGTAAGTTAAAATTCGGTGTTCATTAGATTTATACCTCTAATTATTGGGGTCTTCTTTATCTCCTGTCTTGAACATTGGTATCATTACGCTGTTTCTCCATGCGTCTGGTATCTTGCAGTGCAATATTAGTTTTTGTATAAGTTTTGTCAACTCTAGGGTTATACTTTCCCCTCCGTGTTTTAGAAGCTCGTTGTTTATTCAGTCTGATCCTGGTGACTTTCTATTTTTGAGTGAATTTATGGCTATCTCTACTTCCTGAAAACTGATTTCTATTTCGTGTCTTAATTCAGTTACGTTATTGTGTTAATTATTACTTTTTTTTTTTCCTTTAAACAGTTCCGTCAGGTATCTTTCCTATACATTTGCTGGTATCTTATTGTATTCCTTGGGTATAAAGCGACACCCATATTTCATTGGCCTTCTCCCGGTGTACGAAGATCTGCCATGAGTTATTATCCATTCCCTAACTTTCCATGACACAAGAATAAACCAGAAAGAAACAAACCAGCCTCAAGTATCCTAAGACTATGGAACTGGATCATCTAACACAGTTCATTTTCACATAACTGAACAAATTATTCCTACTCCATAACCATAATAGTAACGTTACTCTGCGTTTGGCATTTAAGGCTCTCGGTATTATGTTTCTCTGTGTCACTTCTACTCCTCTAAGATCTGCGAATACTTGTCTTAATGGGGGGATGCTGTTCAGTCGTTGTGCAAATTGTGTGAGATGATCATGACCGAGTTAAAGCTAAAAAACGCCAGTATCAAGCGATTCCCAGGTTTCAACAACCATCTCTCATCATGCGAGGAGTGTCTACCCATTATCTAATTTCTCGTGAAACAAAAGTAGACCAGGAAAAACCATGAGAAGAAAAAACGCGTCCTCATGAAAAGTGATAAAAAAACGCAGTTCAGCAAAGATCGAGCGAGCAAGGATACACGTGTAATGAGTTGCTTTGTCATTTTCATTATGACATATGATACATCATCATCAGAGTTGACGACAAACGAAGAAATAAAATTGAGGAGGAAGATGTAAAGGAAGCATTAAGGAAATTAAAAAATAGAGAATTACCAGCCATTCAACCAAAATTCATGACTAGGAGAGGACAGAATACCGAACGAACTCCTAAAGTACGGAAGACCAAATCTGACCCAACTATTAAAACTAATCCAAAAAATAATAGAACAAAACAGAATTCCTCAAGAATGGAGATCAAGCATCCTAATACATCTCTTTAAAAAGGGAGACAAATTAGAGAGACTTACAGAGGAATTAATTCATTAAACAACACTAAAATTAACAACCAAAATGATAACAAGTAAACTGAATGAAATTATAACACTAACAGAAGAACAACAAGGTTTTATGTCGGGAAGATCATGCACCGACGGTATATTTATAATGAGTCAAAGGCAAGAGAACTCATTAGAATACAACAAACCGGCATATTTATGTCTCGTGGACCTTAAGAAGGTATTTGACCGGGTCAAATTAAAAGACGTTATCCACTTACTGTACGCAAGAGAGATACCTCTTGGAATAATCAAAACGATCGAAAATATCTACCAAAACAACACAATAAAAGTAAAAGTAGAAGACGAACTAACCGACCTTATTGAAGCTGGCAACTGGATAAGACAGGGAGATTCCCTGAGTCCTATATTAGACTTGATTATGGATGAAATAATAAAAAAAGTAACAATGCCAAATGGAAAAAAAACTCGATATAATCTGCTTTGCAGACGACGCAATACCACTTTCTTAAAGTGGAGATGATTTTTGATATGATGATACAGCAGCAAATTTACTAAGATGCAAATTGGAGCTAGAAGGTCAGATAATAGATCAAGTGATGGAGTCGAGATATCTAGGCATCACATTATTTAGCTACGGAAAGCTCGAAACTGAAGTGGAAGATCAAGTGAATAGAGCAACAGAGCCGCAGGCTGCCTGAATGAAACAATATGGAGAAATAAAAATATCGGGAAAGAAACGAGAGGCAGAATTTACAAAATAGTCATCGGGCCAATAATGACATAAGCGGCAGATACAAGACCTGACACAAAGAGGACAAAAAGGATGTTAGAATAGCAGAGATAAAAAAAACTTAAAATAATTAATGGTAAAACACTATGGGACAGAGCTAGAAGTACAGATATACGACGTAGGTGCAAGGTGGAGAACATCAAGTACTGGGTAAGAAATTAGAATGGAACGATCATATAAGCCAAATGACAACAAATAGAGTAGTAAAGACGACAAGAGACGGTTCCCCAATAGGAAGACGATCAATAGGAAGACCACGAAAACGATCGAACGAAAACTTACTGGAGGCACATTGAAAAACAGACAGAGTCATGTCTATATAAAAAGAAAAAGGTACATAATTGTTTAGTGATAATATTTAGGTTCGCTTACGTTACACAGGACGCAGAAATCCAGGCCATAGAAGAATGTCCTGGATGAGAAATTTAAGTGGCTGTACCACTAACGAATTATTCAAAACAGCAGTTAATAAAATTAGAATCGCCATAATGATATCCAATCTCCGATAGGAGAGGCACTCAAAGAAGAAGACGTTGCACAAAATTTTATGATAAACACATGTGGCAACTCTGGAAATAATGCTATCAGTTCGTAACTCTCGTTTGCACTCCATAAATTTTAGATACTTTTACCTACTGATTTTTCAATTATTTTTAATTTTAATTAGTGGTTTAGAGTAGATATAAATTTTATTTCGTTGAAAGTCATCATCATCTTTGGCTCGACAATCCTCTGTGGAACTTGGCCTGCTCTAAGATTCGTCGCCATTCTGTTCGGTTTTTGGCAACATGTTGTCATCTTTTGATATTTAATATTGGTAAGTCGCAACATCTCGCTTGCTACGCCCTACTATGTCAATGCCATCAGCATATGTTAGGACTTGTATCGATCTATTGTAAATAGTACCACCATCCCTAATTCGTGTATCTCGGATTGCCTTTTCAAAGGCAATATTAAATAGGAGGCAAGCCAGAGCATTCCCTTGTCTGAGTCCATCCTTTATCTCAAAGGATCTAGAACTCTCTCCCTGTATTCTAACAGTGGCTTCTAAATTAGACATTGTCATTCTCGTTAGTCGGATAAGTTTCTCTGGTATACCAAATTCATGCATTGATTGGTATAGCACTGTTCTCTTGACACTGTCGTATGCGGCCTTGAAGTCGACGAATAGGTGATGGGTTTCAATATTGAATTCTAATGTTTTCTCGAGAATCTGTCTTATTGAATGAATCTGGTCAATTGTTGATTTTTCTGGAGTGAATCCAGCTTGATATTTACCAACTATGCCCACTGTGTAAATTTGCTAGTATTTTGTAAGCGTTATAGCTCTATAGTTGTCACACTGGAGCTGGTCACCTTTTTTATGTAACGGGCATATCACGCCTTGAGACCATTCACAGGGCATGGTCTCATTATGCCAAATAAGAAGTAAAAGCTTATGCAGTGTCTGTAGTAGGGCATCGCCACCATTCTTGTAGAGCTCACTGCAAATTTGATCAACTCCTGGTGATTTATTATTTTTAACCTTTTTAATGGCTTGGGCAACGTTTTCGATGGTAGGTGGTCTTTCGTTTGGGTTGAAAGGATTCCAATCATTTCGATTTGCTAGGGTGTTATCTGCTTCTTCGATATGATGGCCATTAAATTTTGCATCGAAAAATTCAACCCATCTGTTTAGGATTGAGGCTGTATCATTTAGGATGTTTCCTTTTTCATCCTTACAGCTCTTTATTCTTGGCTTAAACTCTTTGCGCATTTTGTTTAGATTTCTGTAGAACTTTCGAGTTTCATTTTGATTTCTTAGCCATTCTGTGCTTTCCAACTGCTTTTGCTCAAATTGTCTTTTTTTTTCTTCTATGTAATCGTTTTTCTTCTCTTCTTAGGGTCCGGTATTCTTCCTTTTCTTCCTCTTCTTGCGCATCCAGCTTGATTTGTCTTTAGGTATGCCCTGTTTTTGTTATCTGTTGCTTCTTGGCATTCCTTGTCAAACCATTCGTTTTCTTTAACTAGTTTGGTTTTCCCCAATATTTTTGTTGCTTTCTCAGTTATGTTTTTACATTTTGTCCACAGTTCCTCTACATTTTCCCCTCACCTCCGGGCTCTCCATTTCCTCATCCATTTGTCTCCTATACTCTCTCGCAACGGTTTCAATGCGCAGATTATCAACATTAATTCTGTCTTGTTTCGTTTCAATTTCATTGAAAGTATTTAACTCAAAATACTTCTAAAATTATTGTTAGGGAGTTTATAAGCAGTTGGTAGTACTGTAGCGACGTAGAAATGCCATTCATGACGTGCATCAAACTTTTTGTTATACAATTTTACTAGAGAGGGTAAGTTGCGGACATTCTATCAGGAAGATATCTTTTTCTTATTGCTCTTGCAAGTTTACGAACGAAGAAGAGTTGCAATGTTATAAATTATACAAAATTAGTGCTTTTGAGTAACAAATGTGTTCTATAAATTTTATTTCATTGAAAATATGAGAAGTATTTAAGTCAAAATACTTCTAAAATTCTTGTTACGGAATCCTTAAGCAGTTAGTAGTACTATGGCGAAGTAGAAATGCCATTCATGACATGCATTGAACTCTATGTAATACAATTTTACCGGAGAATACAGATTTCTGGCATTTTATCAGCAATAGGCTATCTTTCTCTTATTGCTCTTGCAAGTTTACGACCGAAGAAGAGTTACAATGTTCTATGGGTTTATACATGTTCAATTTTGCTGTGAAATTTCCATGATTAGTAATATTACAATGTTTGTCATTATGATTACTACGAGAGGGACTTTATAAGTCTTTAATGCTGAGGTTTCCTATTGCCTTGTGTCTTACACTAAATTTTTTAAAAGGTCAATAAAAGAAACCGTCAAACGAAAAATTACTAACAGTTGTATGATAACACACTCTTTTGAAGATATATGTTTAGTTTGTCCTATGTTTGTCGAGTTATGTTTTATGTTAAAGGCAAAAATAAATGAAACTCAGTGATAGTTTTAAAGCTTTATATTTAATATTATTTTATCCTACGTAAACGTCATAAATAAAAGGAATTTAAATCATGTCAAGTCGTCGTCATCTGCGGAATCGTCATTTTCCTCCGCGTCGGCGTCATTTGGCACTTCCGGCCGAATATTGCTCAGCAAATCCCTCATGGCATCCACTAATGAAGCTACACTACTTCTCAAATCACCTAGTTCCATGTTGTTCTCACCTGCGGGTAATGCTCGAGCTCCATCATCATCGCGCACACTAAAAAAAAATAATTAAAGTTAAGAGTTAAAGTAAAGAGCAAGAAATACCAGTGAGCAGAGAAAGAAGTCAGTTTTAAAAGCCATATACAAAATTTCGCACTTTCAAGAAATCAACAAATGACTTGACATTTGACTCCAATAATTAACGAGAGTTCCTATAGATATATAAAGTGATCCTATAAGACCCGTTGACGGATTTGTCAAACCCATCTACAGTTATGTCGAATAAAAATCTAACTAAATAGGCCTAACATGAAATGGATCATTAACTTATATATGATGGTTATGTAACGCCAATGTTAATTGCAATTAAATATCAACATGTCAAAACCAGATGAGGACAAAATTAGTGTTCTATATACACTCAAATTCATGAAAATAAGCAAAATATATTAAATTTGTAACTCACTACAGCAAATAAAATTATTAACAGTAATTGAAGGGGTTAATTTGGGAGACGTTATCTCACCAAAGCTATTTACACTTGCTCTGGAAGACGTGTTCAAAGACATTAACTGGGAAGATAAAGAAATAAATGTTAAAACTAAGTCATTTAAGATATGCTGATGACATTGTAATATTCGCTACAAGTTTCGAAGAACTACAGACCATGATGACGCAACTATTTCAAGCTTCGAAAAAAGTAGGTCTTAAGATGAACTTGGAAAAAACAAAAATAATGACAAATACACCGAACATAAGAAAAATAACGTTGAACGACATAAATGTAACAACAGTAAGCGAATACATCTACCTAGGACAGATAATACAAGTTAAAAAAGAAAATCCAACTGCCGAAATTACCAGAAGAATAAGATTTTTGCCTAAGATAACAATATTTGCCTGAGAGACCGAAACTATAAGGTAGTTTATCCAAATAAATTTCGTTTTGACCGTCCAGTGGTTTACACTTGGGTAGGTAGGTATAATTAATATTTTACTTTATTTTAAACTATTTTTAAACGAAATATTGTTTATTTGGATGAAACCTGGTATGGTACTCATGACACGGTGAAAAAAAGTTGGACGAATAATAACAAAAAGTGTTCTAATTTAGTACCGCCCAATAAAGGACAGAATTATAATTTTACACTGCGGTGTAGAAAATGGTTACATCGACGATGTATTATTATTATCTGCAAAAAAAATGAAAGACTTGAATCTAGATTATCATGAGGATATGGAGGGTTCAAGTATAAAAAAAGTTCAACTCAGGAACCATAGATGTAAACGTTCAATGTTTTTTTTTTTCAAAAGTTAGTTTTTATAAAACTCACAAAGAAAGAAAGTACGTAAAAATATGTAAAAGAACAGTAAACTTTATAATGTTACGAAGATACTTTTAAAATGTGGCACCCGTGGTGTGATAATAATTCTGCAGCTGAAAAGCCAGTGGAACCCTCTAATCAATTGGAATATTTACAAAGCTGTGTAGTAAAATGTAAGCGACATTTTCAATATATCTCTGATGATCCCAAACATATGCTGAAACATGTTTATGAAGGATAGTGTTCTAAATTGTTTAAATAAGAAACAATTGTAGAAACATGTTTATCAGAGTGTCGAAAACAATCTGATACAAGACTATAGGAGCAACATCTTCTTCTAGACAGGTGAGAAAGGATTGTGCAAATTCACACAAATAGAACCGCATCTAAAGGAACATATAATCAGAACAATATATAAAATGGAAGTGGCTAATATTTTTCCAACTATTGAAAGCCTTCGAAGTGAACTGGTTCGAAAGGATATTCTCTTATATTCAGCAACAACACTTTGATGATTTCTTAAAAGCCATAATTTTAAGTAAAAAACTATAGACAAGCGCCAAACACTAATGGAAAGTACTAGAATAATTATTTCTTAAAGAGACATTTCTATCCGATAGATAACTGAGTATCAAAAAATGAAACGAAATCTTGTTTATTTAGATGAGACTTGGTGTGATACTCATGACAGGACAGAGAATTATAATTTTACACTGCGGTGGAGAAAATAGATGGATCGATTATGTATTATTAATATCTGCAAAAAAAATAAAGATGCGTCTTTAGATTATCATGAGAACATGAAAAGTTTAATTTTTGAATCATGGTTTGAAGAATCTCTTCTTCCGAGATTACCTAAATATAGTGTGATTATTATATGGACAACGTATCATATCATTCACGATTAATGAGAAAATTCCAAATAGTACTTGAAACAAATTCAAGAATTTTTATTTGGGAGAGGTTTGTACTTTGAGGCATCATAGTAAAAAGCAATTGTTGGAGATTGTTTATAGTAGACAGTACCAGAAGGTATATGTTGTTGATAACTTTACTCGCAGTAATGGGCATATCGTGCTTGGACTTCCTCCTTACTATTGTAAATTGAACCCAATAGAGTTAATATGGACTCAACTTGAAGCAAATAAAAGAAGAAAAAACGTGGCTCCTAATTTTTTGTCTACTGCTCTCCAGTTAATTAGAAGAGAAGTCACAAAGATCACAGCAACCAACTACAAAAATGTAATCAAACATGTAATCAAAGTGGAAAATGACTATGTTAAATATTTACCAGCAATAACCAAATTAACTAAAAATTTAGATGATACAACTGATACTAGTGATAACAGTGAATCTGAGTAGATTTTTAAGTTCTTATTTCCAACTAGGTGTTAGTTGAAACCTTTATTTTTATTGTAATTGTACATATTCTCGTTTTGCTTATATATCTTTGAAAACAGAGTACAAATACACTTCATGATAGAACAAAAACGTGCAACATATCGTTAGATTAAAATGACAGGGTTCCAACTAACAAAATCGAATATTTGGAGTTATTAGTGTAAAAAGGTTTGAAACTGATCTTCCCTATATTTTGATCTGACAACAGCGCTGGCTAACAACGCAATTCTGACTCATTACAATGGTTCCATCCGTGAACATAAATAAAACCAAACTAGAATGACATTCTACAAATCGACAAATCGAGGTGACACATGAAACCTTGTCACTCAACAAATAAAGGTGGATTTTCACAGATCCGATATCCGATGGTACGATGATACGATATAAATTTCAGAGAATTTCATTGGTTGAAAAATGACAGGTAAAATTTTCGTACGAAATTAAAAGTCATCGGAAGAAGTTAAAAATATTTTAACTTTTGCACGAAAATCGGATAAATTTTGACATTGTTGACATTTCTAACTTGAACCTTAACCTTTTTTTTGTGGAGTGTTTATGTTTACTATTTGAAATATATTTAAAATGGAACAAAGACCTCATTATTATATAAATGCAATGAATAAAGTGTTGCTTTTGGGTCTTCTACACTATGTGAGGCAAAAATTACGAGAACGTAGCTCAATATAATATATATTATATATCAAACAAAACAGCTAACATTTATTGACAGTTCATTGAAATAAATATCAGTCCATCCAATAATCTGACACATAACACAAATAATGTCAAAAAATTTCGGATACGACAATCAAATATATTCGTACAAAAAAATTTCGTATTTCGTGTCATCGGATCTGTGAAAATCCAGCATAATTAAGATTTGTAGTTGTGTTATTAAAACGTTTGTATACTAAAATACTTTTACCTAAAAAATTGTTTAATTGTATGTGATAATTACTTTTATTAACAATTTTTACAGGTATTATTATTTTACAATAAGTTCTTTTTAGTTAGCCTATTAGTGTTATCACTCCCTAGATATACCACAGAAGTTAACAACACCAATATTTTTTCTTTAAACTTTATAGAAAATGAAACTTTTTCTTAAATAAAATTAAATAAAAATAAAAACTTTTTTATCTAATTTAAAATTAGATATCTACGCTACTGCTCAACGAAGCAGTGGCCAGTCTAACATTGTTGCCATTTTCTAGGATTTGGCTCGCTCTGGGTCCTATAAATTTTCTCACGAAATTACGTGTCGACTATACCTACATATCTTCAGCAGATCACTTGGTTGTATGTTTTGATCTGCAACAAACTTTACCCACTCCGCTGATCACAACATCGAAGGTGTTTTATTTGAGGCAGTTGTGGACATAATTTTTACGATTTGTTGTACAACAAGGCTCATATGTTTACGCGGTCTGAAAATATTACTTCGAGAGGGTCACAGGCAATAGGATTGTGTTTTCTGCAATTCATCAAGTCTCTACCACCAACTATAACAAAACTTATTGCCTACAGTGATTCCTGTGGAGGGCAAATTAAAAATAAAAATACATAAGCAAGTTGTTTATGTTTCTTGTAGAAGTTACTCACTGAGAGGAAATCCACCATAAATTTTTAGAACCTGGACACACGTATATGGAATTAGATTTTAAAGTAGCAAATTAAGTTTAAAACCAGTTTACTCAATATATTGGAATTGGTACTTATACCTTTTGTATTCTAACCTCTTCAATTATACAGAATCTATACATTAGTAAATATGGTAAAATGTACTTACGGGTCGGGTAAGTTTGGATTGAAATTTGGCAAAATTGATCTGAAGAATATGCTCAAGGTATTACCCCCCGCATGCTGTGCCAGCGTTGGTCGTTTTGGTCTAGTGTATAAACTAATGGAATCCGAAGGTGGTAATGGATCAAAACTCGTGACAGTTCCACTATTTTCCTAAAAGTAAATACTAAAATTATACCAAAAAAATGCTCAAAAAACTTAAAGAAACATTAGGTGTACTTACATCAGTCATTGGAGATATTCCTTTAATGTTTGCCAGTAGGATGTGCCGAGATATACTCAAAGGTAGATTTCCGTGGAAACTCTTCAATCTTTTCGCTTCGTACTCTTTCAATACCGCATCGTTTTTCTCTACTCTGTCTAAAGCTTCGTGCACGTTCTTTTCCAACCAAGGCAGCAGATCGCTGTCTTTCCATATGTGATAGCTTCTATTTACATATAGGAGTATTATTTGGGTCAGTGCTGTGGGTTGCCTAAAACACAGAGAGAGATGCACTTCTACAAAAAAACAACAATTTAGATTGAAACAAAGTAATATTCTAGTCTATTTAGGCACAAAAATGCCTCAACGTTTACTCAAATTTTACAATGATGACATTTAAACACGGTTAAATCGAATGTACATTAAGAACACTAAATAATATGTATCATACGCACCTTTTGGCATCATCAGCAGTAACAAAAAATTGATGACTAGCGACTCTATTGTCAGTCTGAACGCTGCACTTATCTAGCAAAGGTAGTAGTACACCGGGGAATTTTAGAAGAGCTTCTTGTAGTATTAAATCGGCCTTTGCGCTGTCTCCGAGATAGAAATGCGCCACGGCCAAGGAATACGCGAAATTTGGCAACCACATCAGATTTTTGGCCCCGTCCCATTCTTCGACGAAATCGATCAACCACTGGTATTCTCTGGCGCGTATGGCATAAAAATCTATGGATAATACAATTCCTAGAGGATCTCCATCTGGATCTAGAGACAACAACAGTTTACAAAACTCTAAGGAAGTTCTGTAACATGCTTTTCCTCCGATAAACATCAAATGTTTGAATATCACTATGTACAGTGCCCTGTAAATATAAAAGATTTCATAATCATATATTTAAAAATAAAAAGTTTCTTATCCTACTGACTGCGCCAAATATAGCTCTTTTTTGCACTCCGACTTTTTTGGATGCGGTCAATTTTATATTGCAGCCTATTCGCTTATTGTACTTTATAATATTTGATTACTTGATTACTAGTTATAGTGTATTTCTTACCTATTCTCTTGCCTTCTATAATCTAACCTACAGTTTCCTTGAGCTACATTGAACAGAGGATGGTACGCATATTCCAAACAGTACAATGCCCGCTCTATAAGCTCGGCCGCAGTTGCCAGATGTTCGCTCAATTCGCAGACGTCAGAGAGTTGAATCAAGGCATCCACATGGTACTGATGTTCGTTCAATATGGCAACTATGTTGTCGGGATTGAGACTCTCCACGGCGTCCAAGAATTTATTTTGTACTTGTCTGTAACTCTGGCTGTGCTCATACGTAAAATAGTGGATGTTGTTTTTGTTCTCTAGATATGACATCGAAAGACCGGATTTTCCGGCGTTTGGGTAGTTTTCCTTGCAGTTGACCATCGTCGTTTGTTTGACGTGGCCCCTGCCTCGGTTTTTACGTTTACTGTAATAAAACAAATAGTCAATTGTAGATTATATAAATGTAAAGGTAAACAGAATACTCTTTTTGCTTTTCTTTAATTTATGTAATTTAGGTTTTAATAGTTTGTTAGGACACTGTCAAAACACTTAAAGTGTCCTTACAGGAAACTGAAGAGCAATAAAGCACCAGGAAATTATGAAATGAAAAGGATTTGATTTGTTCGAAAAATTATTGCAAAGTTTTATTACATTATAAAAGATTTATTACATTAAATAAGTATTATGATACTAAAAAACATAAAATCAAATGATACACAAATGTATGGAAACATTGAAAGATTTATTGGACTTAATTTTGGCTTAATATTTAATTAAAAAAAAAGTTTTTACCTTATTGAAAGATTTTTTAAACAATGGTATACAACCAACCACAGAAAATTTCCCTTTTAAATTTCAATATTTAATACTTACTGATCACACTGAACGATCTTTGATCCAAATATCCTTTTGAGTTCATTGTTTGGGTTTAAGTGTTTATGCTGAACGGATAAAGTGTTCTTTTTAAAGTTAACTTTTTCATGTTTTACATTCGGAACAGTTGAAGCCTTAGAAGCGTAATTTTCCCCTAGAATCTTATTTACTTCCCTCAGTGATTTTTCTACCTCATCAACCTAAAAAAAAAGGTTATGCATAAAATAAAAGAAAGAGGGTATTATATACGAGGATCTTATTCAAATCGATATATTTATTATAATGAACCTATACAGGGTGTTTCAAAAAAAGGTAACCCCGTCTCTAGGGTAGGTAAAAAAACTTAGTAAAAAATTTTTGTAACGCCATCCGTTTTCAAGATAAAGGGCGTTGAAGAAAAAAAATTTACGCATTTTTTACGATTTTGCCGAAACTACTGGCAACATTGTAATGAAATTTTATACGAATAATATGTTTTGGAAGCTGATACATCCCATGAATTTGTTTTTATATCTGATTCTCATAAAGGGCACTAGTTACACGGATCGTACTAAGTATTAGTCAATATAACTTTTTTAAGAGTATAATTATTAATCAAAATTTCAAGTAAACTTAAACATCATTCAATTTTACACGAAAAAGGTACTCTTGGTAAAACTCGATACTGTGTACCGTTTTCGGAATATTTTGATTTGAAAATTATGAAGTAATAATTGATGCTGGTATAAAATAGTTAGTAATTAAACAAAACTCACAAGAAGAAAATTAAATTAATGACTAAGAACATAAAATAAAATTCAATTAGAGTAAGTGTTCAAAATGCCCTCCATTTTCGCGAATACACAAGACTATTCTTTTTTCTAAAGATTCCATTAACCTTCTAAACGGTGGGGATCAGCTATGATGTCATTACATTGGCGTTGAATTCTTTCTTCCAATTTACCTCTGTAGCATAACTTTTTCCTTAATATACGACCAAACTGCGTAGTCCAAAGGGTTAAAATCGCATGACCGAGGAGGCCAATGAATCGGAGCTTCTACCAATCCATTGATTCGGAAAATGATTACTCAACAAGGAATTGTTTAAAATATCAAGATACATATCACCATTTAAATTTACAGGTAGAATATGATAACCTATTAATTTGTTACCTAAAGTTGCTGCCCAAACATTAACTTTAAATGAGTGTAATATGATACCCTTTTGACTCGTGGATTCTCATCACACCAGTAGTGTGCATTATGGGAGTTAAACATACCTTGTCGCGTAAAGGTGGCTTCGTCCGTAAAAAGAATGCTTTTTAAAAAATTTGGATTGTGGGCTGCCCTTTGTTGCAATGTTTCACAAAAATCAACTCTAACCGGTAGATCATCTGGCAAGAGTTCTTTGACTTGTCTATAATGATAAGGATGTAATTGCTGTTCTTTCAGTATCCGCCAAGTACTTGAAGAAGAAGTATTTGTTTGTCTTGCTATATTCTTACGCTAACTGTTGGATCTTGATCAAGTAAATTTAAAATATTATTTTCTTTATTAATTGGTCTTGTTGTTCTTGGTCTACCAGAATTTATTTTATTTAGTTTCACATTCCCAGTTTCTCGACAACGTCGTTCAACGGCTCTAAATGTTTTTTTACTTGGTAAGTTTCTTCTAGGAAACTTTTCTGCATAGCGTGTCACAGCTGCACTAGAACATCCTAAACATCCGCCTAAGGTTAATAACATGTCAGTGTATTCAACATTTGAGTACATTTTGATTTGATTTTACAAATAACAAGGTTTCAAAACTCTAATTATTGTTGATTTATCGTCATAACAATCAATAAATGTCAGATCTCCATGGCACACTTGAAGAAAATAGAGGTAGTCCTATTAGAATTTTATCATTACTACCAGCATCAATTATTACTTCAGAATTTTCAAATCTCAAATCAAAATATTCCGAAAACGGTACACAGTATCGAGTTTTACCAAGAGTACCTTTTTCGTGTAAAATTGAATGATGTTTAAGTTTACTTAAAATTTTGATTAATAATTATACTCTTAAAAAAGTTATATTGACTAATACTTAGTACGATCCGTGTAACTAGCGCCCTCTATGAGAATCAGATATAAAAACAAATTCATGGGATGTATCAGCTTCCAAAACATATTCGTATAAAATTTCATTACAATGTTGCCAGTAGTTTTGGCAAAATCGTAAAAAATGCGTAAATTTTTTTTCTTCAACGCCCTGTATCTTGAAAACGGATGGCGTTACAAAAATTTTTTACTAAGCAAACCACAATTATTTTTCAGTTTTTTACCTACCCTAGAGACGGGGTTACCTTTTTTTGAAACACCCTGTATAATGAATGCCTTTAGACCTTTCACAACAAATTTTCACAGATCTTCACAGCTTCTATCTCATTTCAATGATTGCTGCATTGTTGAAATGTATCCAAGAGTCAGCCATAATAGCATTTTTTGACACCATACTGTTTCTTAGCTTATTGTAGGCACTAAATTGGTCAACATATCCTTCCTAATACAAAAACAGCTCTAGAAATTTGGGAAAATCTAATGTTTATAAATTTTCCTGTAAAGACTGCCTGTTACACTACATCGGCCAAATGTGATGAATGAAAATGTGTACTACTTGTGCCCTCACAACTCATTCTATCACTCCTAACCATCAAATAGACTTTAACCACATGAAACCATTAGTTAATAAGAATAGTTTTCACAAAAGATCCTTCCTTGAAATTAGCCAAATTTTAAGAGAAGAAAATTCAATATATAATCTTGATTTTAAATATGACAACAAAAACAGTCATCCAAATCGAGACAATTCATGTCATTACCGGTCTAAAATAGTTTTCAACTTTTCACTAAAAACGTGACCATCAACTTACTTGAATCAACTTACAATCTTGAATCTATCAGAAACTTATTTTCCTAGATTCATTATAAGATCTCGAAAAAAAGATCTGTCATAACTTGAAGCCTTGGGCCACACTTAAGGTTTATCTGCACCCTCAATTAGTTTGTTTCTGATAGATTTCTACATGATGACTATAATATTTACAAACCCTAACATAAATTTCAATGTTCTATCATTACATCCATTGTGACTTGTGACTTGCCAAATCGTGTAGAGAGTAATTTTATCAAATAAAGTTAAAGGCACGTACAAAACCGCTTTTTCATTTAATGTTGATAACTTTATTCCTAATAGTATACCAAGTAAGCAACAATATCTTTTACAGCACCATTATGTTATAGCATTTTAGTGCTCTGCTGTGTCTATCGGAATAAAATATGTCGCACAGAGAATTTATTAAAAAACATGTTTTAAAAATTGTTATTTAATTTTTTGTGACGTCTTATGCAGGTTTACCAAATAATCAAAAGTATGCTTTTGCGAGAACATATTGTTATTGGAAAAATAACGTTCCATCCACACATACCATTGAAAAATGATTCATGTTATCTAAACAATGTTATCGACAACGAAATATGTACTGTTAAAATTTTATTACAATGGTATTACCATTAAATTATTCATACTTGTTATCATACATTACATTTTTGTTGATAATAAAAAATTAAATGATCTGGTATTATTTAACATCTTAGTGGGAATTACATTTAGGTAAATGGTCAAATAGTTAAAAATTTTATTTAAAACATGCGAACACGTCTTCGTTTTGGTCTGTTTATTACTGGTTTCCAGTTTGTTTTCTTCTAATTAGTGAGGTCTTCTTCTCTTCTTTGTATGTGGCCAAACCATATCAGTCTTTGTGCATTAATAAAATTTACTATGTGTTCCCCTTCGGTTATATTTCTTATTTGATGGTTCAGTAACCTTTTATATTCTCGTTGTCTTTATACTAGGCCGTGTATTCTTCTCGGAATTTTTCTTTCAATTATTTTTAAGTTTTCCTTCATTTTTTTTCGTATGACACATTACTTCCGCTCAGTATGCTATCACCGGTCTAATTGCTGCTCTATATATTCTTGTCTTTGTTTTGTTCTCAGGTTTTTATCTTAAAGGAATTGACCCTATGGAATTTGTTTTCACCTATTATTATTCCTGTTAGTTGTAAGTATTTTGTTATATTCTGATTGATTATTGGTCCTCTGTTTTTTGTTTCTCTTATCAACGTTAGGACTGTTTCTTCTAGTTTTTGTTTGTCAAGCGCTATTAATGCTAGATCGTCCGCTTATCCTATGATTTGTGTTGAACGTTGAATAATTGTCCTTTTTTCAGCTCTGTGTCTCATTAATCTCTATAGTATGATATACTACATTCGCTTAGCTCGGGCATATTTTGACAGATTCATTGTCGGAAACCTACAACACAACAATTCCTACTTCTCGGTATTAATAGCTCAAGTATACTACTATTGCAGACTTCTATCTTTGAAAAAAGAAAAATTATTCTAAATAGTGTAAGTGTATACTAAACCCATCAAATTTTCCCTGTATATTTAAAATATAATATATTTTTTTATTGGGTTAATGCCTCAACAACTATGATCATTGGCATGGTACAGTCAGGTACCTAGTGTAGTGTGTGTGTCTGTGTGTGTGTGTAGAGTAACTGTCTTGATACTTAGCAAAGTCGACGTCATTGTCTTTGCTAAGAGACGCTAATTGTATCCGAACGTCTACGGTGCCTCTGGTGAGTACCGATCGCATAAGGATAGAAATTATTTTCATTCATTAATTTTTAATAAATTAAAATCCAATTGCTACAATTTAACATATTGTAGTAAATATTTGTATTATTTTAGCTAATTTTAGCTATATTTTAGCTAATATAGTTTTATTGTTCTATTATTTTTGTTTAATTATTTGTTAGTTCTATTTAGTTAATTAGTTAGTTCTATTTTGAATTTTTTTATTAGGGATAGTCAAAGTTTTCCATTTGTTCTATCAGATAATGCGTTGGTAAGATTTTCTTAAATAAATATTCCTTAAAATTTAATATTTTTAGATGAGTAAGGATGCTGTTAAATTACAAGGTAATCAAACTGCAAAAAGATTTATTCAAAACACTAACCATTTTTTTTTAATTATTTGCTCATTCGGCGTAGGATAATCATTAAATATATTTGTGAAATTATGTAAATATGTTCTTAATATCAAAAACATTTCAGTTAACATCCAGTTCAATTTGACATGGCGTCAAAAATTATCTATAATTTAATAAAAAT